TGCTTTATGGGCTTTAAGCCTCCTCTATTTGATACTAGCTTAAAAGTTTTATATCTTCCTAGAAAATAACCCTTTTATCATTACATATGACTCTCCTAAAACTTATTAAATTTTAAACAAAAATATATTTTGTCTGATATTAGTATAGCCATGTAATTTTTCTTTTAGTTAGTTTTGGCCTAATATTTAACTTCTATAATTTTATTTTAAACCTTTATTTTTCCTTTTGTTTTAAATATGGCTTTGATAAATGGCACAAATTTGGATTTGTACCAAGCCTGACAATTTCTATTCTACTTATCTGATGGATTTAACCTATTTACATTTTTTTATTATTACAAATATTAATATAATTGGATTCCTCTCTAACATCTTATTCTGTGCTTTTTGTTAATCATGAATTCCCAATGCTTTTTTCCTCTTTATTCCTCTATTATATTAATATTTTTTACTTTACATTAAAAATTCTTGAACATTTAAAAATATTATTTGCCTTTTTATAATTAATTCATACTTTTTAATAAATTCTGAGTGCCTGCTCTTTCTTGCTCGTGTGTGTTGGCAACATCTTAAATGTCTGGTTTGCCTTGTTCTGTGTCTTTTGATGAACAGATATTCTCAATTTCAATAAAATCCATTTCATTAATAATTTTCTTCTTGATTATGCTTCTCTGGGTTCCACTTAAGAAATATCTTCATTACCCAAGGTATTATCTTCAGAAGTTTTTGCTTTGCCTTTCACATTCAGGCCTACAGTCCATCTGGAATTGGCACTTATGTATTTGCAAACCAGGAGCTAAGATCCTTCTTTAACTTGTATTAATGTTGTTTTGGTTATTTATTTGCCCCAATATCATCATGGAAAAGATCTTCCTTTATCCACTACCCTGAAGGCCCAACTTATTTTCAGAAATCAAAGTTCCTTTTATGCCTAGCTCTGCTTCTGAACTCTCAATTCATTCCATCAGTTACTTTGTCCTTACACCATAGTTTAGTTAAAACAACAATCCTTTATTTAGTTCACAAGTTTGTGGATCAAACACATTGGTGCTGTCTCAAGTGGACGTTATTCTGGTCTTGAATGGGTTGTCAGTCTGCTAGGAAGCTCTTATGGGGTTTGCCTGGCTATTCGGCTGGAGCAACAGCGGCAACACAGCCTTGCATTTCTCATCATCCAGCAAGCTGGCCTGGGCTTTGCACGTGATATTAGCAACAATCCATGATAATGAGTAGAGATGCACAGGCGCTCTCTTAAGGCCTAGGCTGAGAACTGACACAATGTCCCTTCTCCCACATTCTGTTCACAAACCTAACTCAGATTCAAAGAGCAGAAGAAAAGATTTCCATTTCAATGGGAAATGCTTCCAAGTCAAATTACAAAAGAGCATGGATAAAGAGAAGGAAATAAATATAGCCGTTTTCACAAATAATCAACAATAGCCCTCTCTCTGGATATAACTGTTCACATCCTTTACATATTAAAAATAATCTGAGTTCATCCTAATACCCCCTGAAAACTTTGTTCTGTCATAGCATCATAGATGAAGTCCAGGATCTTGTCATTTACATCATGTCTAAATGCAGATTTTAAATGCAGCTCCTCTGTTATAAACTAAAAAAGACAGAATATCTGACCCACACACATCCAAAGTATAAAGTGAATAAATATAGTCTTTATATGATGCTGGCATTGTCCTAGCTCCGTGAGTCCAACTCATTCACTGTCCAGAATGTTTTTCTTGTCAAAATGTATGCAACAGTATCAAAAAAGAAACAAGTAAGTCGAACTCCATAAAACCCCATTAGTTGCTTTTGTAATAGTTTTGTTTACATCTGAATTTTTCCTGGCTATATTGTTTACTGCTATGTGAGTTGATAGAACTCAGTGCATTTGATAAGGCCTGGCCATTTCTATTAGAAGGATAATGGTCTATAAACTAGAGAGGTAACTATCTCTTGCTGTGAAGTCCCCAGCTTCCTTTGCAGACTACCAAAGATCATGAGAGCAGATATAGAAGGAAGTTCTTAGTACTAAGCTAGGGAGACATAATAAAACTTCAAAACTTGATATGGGTCCTAAATTTGGGGGGAAGAGTATTGTTTATAAGGGCCTTGTTAGACTTCAAAAACTCTTTTTTAACACCAATATTTGTTTTAAGAGGAAAGAAGAGATATAGCATAATAGCTCCATGGCATAGTTGTTATGTTTAACAGAGGTGCTGTTGTTTTATGTTGGTTGTGGGTTTATTGATCCTTTTCAGTTACTATGGTTGTTCCCTGTAAGAATTTTAGAGTGATGAGAGATCAGAGTTATTTCCCAGTTACCCAATGAAAGCCTGTTCATCCTTTGCTTTTCTTTTATTGCTTCCCAACACAATATATTTTCTGGCAATGAGAATAGTACTCTGTTGGAAAAAGAGGACAAAAGCAAGAAGAACTAATTTATCTTCAAAATTATTGGCAAGCAATTGGGTAACAGAGTCAATAGTTCTGTTAAATTTTCTGGGTCTCAACCTGGAATTTATTCTCTTGCAAAACTTAAATTCAGGAGACTCTTTCTGAAACCCAGCACCAAAATACTGTGCAGGAGGAAAAAAAAAACAAAAACAAATCATTCTTCTGCAGCAGCCATTCATTCTGCAATGCATGGCTTGCACCAGAATACAGTGAGTCTCTTTGGTTCCAGGATTACAAGGAGTTTGGCTAATGAGGATAGGACATCCTGGAGTTATAACAGACATTGATAATCTTGGAACAGTGACAACCAAAGTAATGGCTGATTTCAAAAAAATTTTTAAAAAGACACCAGCAAGATAGCCAACTAGAGTTGCCCAGTACTTCTCCTCCCTATACACACAAAGACAAATAAACAACTGTATCTCAACTGGAGTGACTGAGGAAGTGTACCAGCAGGCACCAAAGGAGCGGCAAAATCCCTGTGGAGCACGGAAGCCCAGACTAGCGCATAAAAAGGCGTGCAAGGAATCCTACCTCTTGCCACACTGTCTCTTCTGCCAGATTGGGGTCAAGTGGAATTTCTTATGGAGAAAAAGTAAGACAGAGACCCCAGCAGTTCCCACTGCTGCCACAGACACAAGCAGTCGTTGGTACAGTAGAGTCTCCCTGTCCTCACAGGCCCAAATCCAGTTTGGAGAGTTGCGGGAAGTTTGCACAGCGGCACTGCCTCGGAGTAGGAGTCCATATTGCGCACACCCACACAGGACCTCTGCTGCTGCTGCGTGATGCCATCTTGGAATCAGATCCATGGCTGCAGTGTGTCCTACCCCGAAGGCCAGTAGCCCGGACTCTCTTCAGGCCAGAGGCCCCACGGTAATTCCAGCACATTCATGTTGGTGCCTTCTTCAGCACCTCAACCCTGGCTGGCTTCCTGGAGCCTAGGCCCAACGGAACAACTGAGATGCCAAAATCTGAACAGACATGGCGCCCCAGCCCCCCAGGGGAACAGGTGGGCCTACACGGTGAAGAAGCCACCTTACAGCTGGCCAGCCCACCACACTTGTGCACACGTGCGCACCACAGCTGGCCATCCTGCTGAGCCCATGTGCACCCACCCTGGACCCAACAGTCAGTTTTCTGGTGGCCTTGCCTCCTGGGACAGCCTGGTTCTGTGTACACCCCGCCTGACAGACAGCCCGACAGAGACCTGCCCCAGCAAAATCGCACTACCACTGCCACACACTCCTTCAGCTGTTTCATCAATTCCTAAGAGTCTTACCCTAAGTTCAGTCAGAAAATCAGAGCATAAAACAAGAGTGTGGGAGGGAGGACAATTATTTTATTTTGAGAAGTAAACCAAGGAACTGAAGAAGGGGACTGAAAGGAACACAAAAGAAAATGTGGAAATTAATTCAAAGATACATTGGAGACCTGACTACCACTTTGGGTATCTAGGTCTAAACCTCAGTAGGGAAAACTCCAAGGAGCTTTGTGAAACACACTTCAGCTCCCTCGCCCAACTGGTCAAGAGCTGCTCATGAAATAATAATTCCTTCATACTTTCAAGTTTTTTACATGCATCAGAATGGTTGAGTGAGTTTCTATAAAAATTCAATGCAGTAGCATTAAAGAAGCCCTAGAACAGAAAACAGCTATTTGGTAAACCAGAGGTGAAGTGTTGTCTTATTACACCAATCCACAATTGTTTGTTGCATCAGTGGTTACAATGATGAGGTAGGCCAAAAGGATGTGAGTACATGAGAGGTACTTTTACCATCCACCTATTTTAGTTCTCAAATCCACTCATGTTCTACACTGAATCCATTCTTCCAGAGCCTTTAAAGTGGTTGCTGGCCAGAGTATCTGAAAAAGATGAAATACACAAGAGTTGGTGGAACAAGCTACAGTCCTCAATATTGCAGATAGTCTTGAGAACATATTGATACTTATCATTTAACTATTCCATGACTCATTCTGGATTATCTTATCCTTGATAAGCCCTTAAATCAAATTTGCCTGCCTGGTGGAGTGACCCAGACCTTCAATCCTGAAGAGTTTTCAGGTGCTTTACCCTCGTTGGGCTGTTTTTGCTACCATTTTCAATGTGTAATTTAGCATTGAGTTTGAAGGCATCAAAAGATGACCTGGCGATTTTCTGGATTTCAGATATATTCCTTCCCGTCCTCATTTGTGTAGATCTTACAGTCCCAGATGCTCACTGAGATACAATGAGAGGGCTCATTAAAATTAGGATGGATTTCTCCCACCAATGGTAATTCATTTCTTTGCTAATTCAGTAGCATGAGGAGTCAAAGAATGTGTCAATCACAGCTGAAGGCACCATAGATCCCTTACTGTCTCTCCTGGGGAAAGCATTATTCCACCTGCCCTGAGAATGAAGATTATTAATCAAGAATAATCTTAGGGGTCTCAGCAGCTCGGGCGGCGGGAGCGAGGGCAGCGGCCAGACAGCCCAGCTCGGCGAAGGCTCCCGGCGCGCCGCGGCCCGCGGGCACCCAGCACGCGCCCTCCCCGCCCCCAAGATGCCCAAGGGGAAGGTCAGCTCGGCGGAAGGCGCGGTGAAGAAGGAGCCCAAGAGGAGATCTGCAAGGCTGTCAGCGAAACCTGCTCCTGCGAAGGTGGAAGCGAAGCCCAAAAAGGCAGCAGCAAAGGATAAATCTTCAGACAAAAAAGTGCAACCAAAAGGGAAAAGGGGAGCAAAGGGAAAACAGGCCGAAGTGACTAACCAAGAAACTAAAGAAGATTTACCTGCAGAAAATGGAGAAACTAAAACTGAGGAGAGCCCAGCCTCTGATGAAGCAGGAGAGAAAGAAGTCAAGTCTGATTAATATCATATACCATGTCTTATCAGTGGTCCCTGTCTCCCTTCTTGTACAATCCAGAGGAATATTTTTATCAACTATTTTGTAAATGCAAGTTTTTTAGTAGCTCTAGAAACATTTTTAAGAAGGAGGGAATCCCACCTCATCCCATTTTTTAAGTGTAAATGAGATTTTTTTTAAGAGGTAAAATCATTTGCTGGTTGTTTATTTTTTGGTACAACCAGAAAATAGTGTGGGATATTGAATTATGGGAGGCTTTGACTGTCTTGGGTGTCAGCTTAACATTCCATAGATGGGGGCTAGTTTTTATATCCTATAATATAAAGCATACTAAATGGCAATATGGAGTCCCAGGCCTGCATTTAATGTCTTGAACATTTTAAATTACTTTTCTATTCCCATGTTTTTTAGTAGACTTGTTTCCTAAAGAAAACCACTCCTTGATCATGGCTGTCTCTGTCAGAATTGCATATATTCTGTAACATCTTTGGTCGTGGTAGTCCTGTTTTTCTAATAACTTTGTTAATGTGCTGTGAAAGATTGAAAATTTGAGTATGTAGTATATATGATAATAAATTGTGAATTGGTGGGACTTATGTAACAGCTTATCAACATTTGAAGATACTGGTACTTGATATCCTCTTAAGGAAAATTTGTCTCCACATTTTAAGCTGGAAAGTCACTGGAATAACTTTTAAAAAGAATGAAAATAAGTGGGTTTTTAGATTTTCGGTACGTATGTTAAGAATTGTGTACAATTTGAAATGTCTGTACTGATCCTCAACCAATAAAATCTCAATTACAAAAAAAAAAAAAGAAGAATCTTAGATTTCATAGATGAAAAACACAAATTCCACAAGTAGGTGACTGGGAGAGATCATTAAGAAAGACTTAGTTCTATTTCCACACTTATTTCTCAAACTCATGTAGTCTAGTTATTGGGCACATAGCACAACATACTGGTTATTAGTTCAATGCATAAACTGCATCCTTGTGAACAAATCCTATACTTTGTATTGCATGATACTTAAGCCAGTACCTTAACTGAGATTTTAATAAACCATTCTATTATCACATTAAATAGTAAGTTGTTTCCACATGATGTAGTATATTGCAGTGGGAGTGGATCACACGAATGGCTACGCACCCATAGTCATACCTCCCTTATGAGAAAAAACACTCTGTGTTCTGAGGCAATGTTATACATATCCGATGTTGGTAAATTAGGCATTCAAGACCCTTAAAGGATAATGTTGGCAGGCAGAGGAACTGCATACATGGAAGGCAAACTCATATCTGAAATGGGATATGAGCTGACAATTCCATGGTTGCATGGTCTGGTGTAATTAACCTGCCTATAAGTGGCTACCTGGTCTTTCTAAGGGATGATGTCAAACCAAAGGCTTGGGGTGTTGACCTTTGCTGGCAGGAAAATAGTCAGAAATAACTCACCTTAGTGAGGGGCAGTTTCTACGCCTGCCATGATCACTAACCTGTTCATAGGCTTACTATAAGAACTAGGATAACCAAGGAGAAAGACTGGCTAACATCCACAAGATGAGCCACCATATATAACTGATATTTAGTGACTCCTCTGAGTTAGCTGCTGGGGGGGACAAAGAGACACAAAGATTCTCAATATGTTCTGTCTACTGAGAAGATTTCCCTTCGTAACTTTTCTTCAGGGCCACCCTGAGAAGGTTTTAATGCAGTGGTGATTCCCTCTTGCCTGGCATTGACATATTGAGTTCTCTTAGTTGTTTCAGGAAACTGCAAAGGAACCATAAATGTTTTTTGAGACAGGTGACATGGGAACTTGAAGCACCTGTTCAGGCAATTTACATCTGTCTCCTGAATCTGCTTGAACATTTATATCATAAATGGATTCCTGCTTCACCTGCCTGACATTATGGCCTCAGAAGATCTATTAACACCCTGAATATGATGGACACTTCACGTTGCATATTCGTGTAAGGTCCCTTTCTCAGGCTTTCAATCTATTCTAGGGCACAGTAGCACACAACAAGGTAATTTTAAACAATAAATAGTCCTCTACCACCAACAAATATTTTCCCCAGAATCTTAAGGGCCTGTCCTGTGACTTTCCTATGGGGATTTTCCAAAGACTGCATAAGTATACCAGTGGTTACCTCTGGCACCACTGAATCTGTTGAGCCATATAATGTAATGGACAGGTTCGCTAGAAGCAGAGACTCAACAGAGATTCTTTTTCATGTAATGTAAAATGCAGTTAATATTAATCCAGTTAATCCTATAGAAAAAAGAGGAATAAGAATAGAGTGGGAAAAATTTACATGACATAGAGATCTGAGAGACTAAACAGTGTCAGCTGGGAGATACAGTGTCAAGGTAAGCTTAGTTTGAGAATAGGAGACATCTGAGTTTCTTACAAAGAAAAATGAGGCCCGGGCACAGTGGCTCACGCCTGTAATCCTAGCACTCTGGGAGGCCAAGGCGGGAGGATTGCTCGAGGTCAGGAGTTCGAAACCAGCCTGAGCAAGAGTGAGACCCTGTCTCTACTATAAATAGAAAGAAATTAATTGGCCAACTAATATATATAGAAAAAATTAGCCGGGCATGGTGGCGCATGCCTGTAGTCCCAGCTACTCGGGAGGCTGGGGCAGTAGGATCGCTTGAGCCTAGGAGTTTGAGGTTGCTGTGAGCTAAGCTGACGCCATGGCACTGACTCTAGCCTGAGCAACAAAGGGAGACTCTGCCCCCCAAAAAGTAAGAAAAATGAGCCAGCAAAAATAAATTAATGATGTAGGAAAAAGAAATGCTATTAAGTATAGCCAGGTCGTAAGGACGAAGAAAGAGATGGATTTAAGGAAATAGATGCAAAAGCGAGCTGTGATGAGAGACACTTATTTTTAAGAATCAGAGGAAAATCTGTCAGCTAGATGTAAGTACAAACAAGTCTCCTAGGAAGACAACAGGTTATATGAAAGGGAGTATATAAGGAGTCCTTGAAATAATTAAGGACATTTAAAGTTATCAACCCCAAAAGAATGCTTTGCATGAGAAAAGTCTTTTCATTTGAGAAAATAGTCATACTATCTCAGCCATGCTATCTCCAGTAGATCTAGAAAATGTTTGTATATAAAAACATATTCACAAAATAAGTCTCATGGGTAAAATTAACTTTGCCACTAAAACGTCCATATGGGAACGTAAAACACAATTTTCTAAGTAAATCTTTCCCAAAGGATTCTACTTTGATAGAAAATAAAGAGTCAGACTATGGTGTGTCATGGAGCCTGTAACTTTCAAGATTGGTCTTGCAAAATAATATTCTCTCTAGTTAAATATTATGTTAGATAAGGGGAGTGTTGTTGATGCCAAGAAGCATTGTAATTGTATGTTGGTGGATATATGATTATGTGGAAGATAGATAGGGGCTGGAATGAAGTCCTGTTCTTCTTCATTTCTGTTTCTTACTGCAGAGACCACAGCAAAAAGATGCCAAATACAACCTCAGCTGTTGCTGCAGAAATGGATTCTTTTTCAACTCTTAGAAGACCTAACTAAACTCTTTCTTTCTTAAACCTTTTCTTTGGATCACATACCTGATCACATACCATTATTTAATCTTATCTTATCTTTAAATCCCTTCTATAGAGGATGGGAGGCTTCCTTGTTTGCCCACATGCAGTTGAACATCTTTGTCTATTAAGGCAGAAGACATACATATCAAACTATCAATATATGCAATAAAGGGCAATGCAAACAGGTTGTAATGATCATTTCTTTGTATTAGCAAATAGCAATTTTAGTTACTAAAGACAGAAGTTTCCCCACCAACCCCCCCCCCTTACCTAGCACGTGACTGTTCGACATTTGGTGTCAGTAAATCAGGCAGTTTACTGACCTGATTACAATGTTAGCCTATCAATTAATTAGACCACTTTTTCCTTTACTCAGGTGGATTATTTATGATGGAGAAAAGTGTTAGCAGCTAATGTAGAACAAATATGTTGGCAGGTTAAATATTTGATTCTCCAGTTAAACTCCCTCTTCTGTTGTTATGGCGGTGTATAACAATCAACAATTTAGTTGGGGACTCAGGGAGCTTCTCCTAACTTAATAAGAATGATATATCGCTGTTTAAGTCACACGCTTAGTCCCCAGCCTTTATGCCTGGGGTTTTCTAGAGCATAATTTCATATCATCCTCTGTACCCTCACACACCCCAAAGCAGGAGTTAATTCACACTGGACACAGAAACAGCTTCCTACAACTTGTGATTTGGAAGTAGCAAGTAATCAGGTAGTAAGTAGAGTTAACGCTGCCCTAGAGTTAGCGTTTCATTGTGGCCCCTGCCTGGAGTGTTGTGAGTCTGAGATATGGCACCCTGACCAAAAGGGATTATGCGAACAGACATTTTGCCGAAATAATGACTTCATGAGTGCCTGCCCCATTTCCCTTTGCCTGGTGATACCCTCACAAAGGCCATTTAGAAAGGATTCCATGGCTTGCGAGATACAGAATCTGAGTTCAAAAATATCCCAAGATGAGCAAATGTCACTTTTTTTCTCCTCTGGAGCATTTCTAATCACAATTTTGTTACTGTAGCCTCGATTCTGAATGAGATAAGCCTATCTGGAACTCTAAAAATAGCATATTCTGAGCTACTCTTCTGTCTCCAGAGGTTCCCAAAGGAAACCTCACAACAACGAGGTTTGATTTGAATGATTTGCAGCTTATCAGAACCAGTATCTTCACAAATGGGGGGATTGTTTTTTTAATCCTGGAAGATGCCAGATTGACAGTGTTTGTGGCTGGGGCTTTGATTTGAGATTAGACTCGTGGTAAGAGAGAGACTAAGGTGCCTGTGAGTCTGCCAGCCTCTGCTTTCCACGAAGCGTTGGAAAGCAAAGCTCTGAGTTTGAGCTGAGAAGGGCAGTGTCCAGATTCAACTCTGGTCAACTTCCTGGAGGCCACAGAGTCTTGCTAATTGGGGTAATTAGAGCAGAGCCAACATCTCTGCCACCCGGGCAGCAACATTTCCAATGTTTAGTTTTAACTAAAAACTGGAAGGAAGTCACCAATTCTGTAGTGTGTCCTGCACGTCACCATTTCTAAAACTGAACCATTCTCCTATTCTCGTTTTGGGCTTATTACTTATGGGCCATTTTCCAGAATAAATTATGAGGCATCAAAGGACGGGGAAATAACCTTCTTTCTTTCCCTGTCCCAATTATCCAATTAAGACTTAATTTCACCAATTCTGAAACAAATGGGTGTCATACTTATACCTATTTTTCACTGTTTATTCCTTTGGAAAAAAAAAAA